GGGACCAGTGAAGAGTAAAGATGAGTCAACAGTGTCAGGAGGGAAGATACAAGGCATGATCAAGAATTCAGCAGAAGCTGGAAGTCAGGAAGAACGGGGAAGAGAGGCAGGTGCTAAGAATCCACGGAAGCATGGAGGGGAGGGCTGAGAATTCCCCACTCATGGGGGATGGGAGCTGGAGCAGGCTTATCTGCTCTTTAGTGTTCAAAAGAGGGTGGACCCATGTGACCCAGGTTACACATCACAGCCCAGGCACTGTTGCTGTCACCTGGTGAGCTTTATCGGTGGGACATGGTACCTAGTTCAACAGAGGTGGGTTGTCAACTGAGTAGCTGTGCCATTTGAAAAAACTGCCATCTGGTTAAGGGAACACTTGAGTGTCCCTAACTAGTAGCCTGCTTAACAGTGAGGCTCCCGTTTGCTGAGCACCTATGGTGACAGGTGCTTTACACACATTACCTGATTCTTGTTAACAACCTTGCAAGGTATTTTCTTGTTATCTTCACTTAACAGGGATGAAAACCCAAATGTGGAAAGTCAAGTAAGTAACACAGTCAAGGGGCACCTGGGTGGCTCAGTCAGGGAAAGGGTTAAAGTATCTGCCTTGGGCTCAGGTCACCATCTGGCAGGTATCCTGGGATTGCCCAGTCAGGGCTCTCTGCTCAGTGGGGAGTCTGTTTCCCCCTCCCCCTGCTCTTGTGCACGTGCACACGTTCTCTCTCTTTCTCCCTCAAATAAACATATAAAAAAAAAAAGTAACAGCGTCAAGCTTTTGGTAGGATGCGGCAGTCAGGATTTGAATGCAGCTCTATCTCATTTGAATCTCACACCCACCATAGCAGGAAAGTGGGGAGAAATGAGAACTATTGTTCCCACTTTGGTTTTGCATCACCTGATGCCAAGAGAGGCGATGTGACTTCTTAAATGCCACACAGCTGTCTGGCTGTGTCCCCATCCTGACGCCAGAGTCTGTATTTTTCACACCATTTATGTTTTGTCTGTGATCTTTACTTTGTACCTTATTTTAGGGATCTCAGACATCAGCCGAGATCTCAAGCAAATTAGTCAACTCTACTGGCAGGATACGAGCCTGGTAAATCATCAACTGTTTCACAACAGACCAGAGATTTAAATGTCATTCAGGGCATTTAGTTAAGATCTGTGCTCAGTATGGGAACAATTAGCTAACGGACTGCAAATAAATTTCTCTATTACTCAGGAATGGGATAGCGACTTGTTGCAAAGGCACCCTTCAGCTTGAGGGTGATCTGGCTTGAACATCTGTCATCAGATTGGTTGTTGGGTTTGATCCCGGATGGTGGGCTGAGCCATATCGCCTTCCTCCTTTACTGCTCCTCAGACATCCTTCCTAAATCTGCATGCTCTGTCTAAGGGGCCAGTGACGGGACAACCTTTTTACTAACAAGGGTACTAAAGCATGAAGCATCTCTTAGGAAAAGAACACTCAGAAATCTGTTCCTGGGACCCAGTGTTATGGTTCTTTGAACCGTTCTAAGTGGTGATTATGTGCTGACAGAACAAACCTACACGAAGACAAAGGACTGACAATTTTGTACCCTGGGGTTGGGAATGTGAAATGGTATGACCACTTGAAAGGAGTTTTTCTAACAAAGTTAAAAATATACCTACTCTGTGACTGGGCAGTTTTACTTTGGGACATCTACCCAAGAGAAATGCAAACGTGTTCACAAAAGGGATGGCAGAGTGGGGCACCGGGCTGGCTCAGTGGGAAGATCCCGCGACTCTTGATCCTGGGTTTCTAGTTCAATCCCCATGTTGGGTGTAGAGATTACTCAAAAATAAAATCTTAAAAAAAAAAAACAAAAAAGGAATTTTGTAGGAGAGAGTTCATAGCACTTCTATTCATAGTAACCCCCAAACTGGTAACAACCCAAGTGCCCACCTATATGGTAATGAATAAACAAATCTGAGTTATGCTAACATAGTAGAACAACCCAGGGGTGCCAGGGTGGCTCAGTCAGTTAAGCATCTGCCTTCAGCTCAGGTCATGATCTCGGGGCTCTGGGATTGAGCCCTGTGTCCGGCTTCCTGCTCAGTGGGGAGCCTGCTTCTCTCTTCAATAGCTCTGCCCCGCTCCACTGCTCCTTCTCTCCCTCTCTCTCTCAAATAAATAAAAATCATACAAGCAACAACATAAATGAATCTCAAAAGCATTTTGTTGAGTGAAAGAAGCCAAACATGCATAAATAATCACTTAATGGATTCCCATAAACTGAAGTTCTAAAACAGGCAGAACTAAGCCACAGTGACAGAAATCAGAGCAGTGCTCATTGCTGCGGGTAGGAAGGCACTGACTGGAAAGAAACAGGAAATTTTCTGTGATGGAAATATCCCACATCTTGATTGTGTCAGTGATTATACCAGTGTTGTCAAAATTCATCAAACTGTACATTTAAAATGAGTTTGTTTTATTATGTGTAAATTATACTAGAACCTAAAAAAGTGAAACCTAAGATGGTTTCAGCAACTGGGAAACCAGAACCATGTCTATTTCTGCGCCTGCCTTCTCTTGCATTTCTTTTCTCATGCCTCAGACTTTAAGTGACCAAGAATCATACAGTGGAAATAATGAGGGGGAGGGACTGGGGCAATGAGGTCCAATTGTAGCTTAAGGTTTCAAAATTATAGTCAACCCATGATTCTAGGAAGTCAATCCGGTTTGTGGATCAAACTGTTTTGAAGCACACCCAATGCTTGCTGCCACCTCCCAGCGGAGTATAAGAACAGCCCAGCAGCATGTTCAGAGAGTCTGAATCTCCCTACATCAAGGAATGAACCTTGAGCGCCCACAGAGTACTTTCAGGGAAAGAGGACTCACAAATTCAGTGTGTCAAGGGGTAAGGAGAAGGGTAGTTTCAGGCTCCTGCTTTCCAGAGGCACCAAAAACTCCTCTTACCCAAAGTGGTGTGTTAGGCTTAGAGGGTCCAGCTGAGCCCAAGGTAGCTCATTCAGCATTCATAATGGCGGACTCCAGTGGGAATCAGTGGTGTGTGGGCAAGCAGCTGGGGGGATGATTGGAATCTTGGGACTTAATAAAGCTATCTTCCAAGAAGCTGATTCAACAGAATGTGTGCTCACTTGGAATTCGCCCCCTGGATCTACTCTTGTCATTGCAAGTTCAGAAATGTGAACCTCGGGCAGCGCTCCAGAAACCAAAGCTATCCTGACCTTTGCATTAAACTGACCTTACTCTTCTGGTGGGACTCGGAGTAGTAAGGAAAAAAGAGGAGGGTGAAGTTGGTAAAAATGGGAAGGAATGGTACTGGCTGCATACTATGCCTGTTTCTTTGAAAACTCAGGTTGTAACATCTGTTTCTTAATTCTTACAACAAATAATCGTCCTGTGCCTACCATGGGCCAGGCCCTACACTGGGCCATGGGATTCAAGAGTCAACACAACATGGTTCCTGACCTCAAAGAACTCAAAATCCTGCAAAAGCCACCACCATAATGGACCACCTGGAGTAGAGTGTGGCGAGTTTCTCACATACACACACACACACACACACACACACACACACACTGCCAGCTCTGCCTGGCAGACTGGAGAAGGCTTCATGGATGGATAGACATACCAACTCAGTCTTAAGGGCAAGTAGGAGCAAGGAGAATATTCTAGAAAGGAGGAATAGCATTTACAAGGCAGAGGCATGAAAACAATGTGTTTTGGCGCAAGTAGAGGCAAAAGTTAGTCATCTTGGAAGAGAGGATGCTCCTTAGCTCAGTGATCAGATTCAAAATGTCCCCAAAACACTGTATTAGACTCAAACTTGAGAATCTACTTTCAACCAGATTCAAACTATGAATCTAGTTATGAGACCTATATGTTATATCTATTACGAGACCCTTAAAAGCATTCACTCATTTCCTTCTCATTAAAGTGAGGAGACGTTATAGGAAACTGAAATACGGAGAAATTAAGTGGCCACAGATTTAAGCTCCAGCATTATGCTCCAGTACCTGTGTTCCTAACCACTACACTAATGTCCCCTGGAGAGAAGGGACAGAATCCAAGATTGGAAAATGGCAATGGAAAGTCTGGATCAGGGGATAGTGAGCAGACCAGGTGTTGGGGGAGCTGACTGTGGGCATGGCCTAGAGACTTGACTGCGGAGGAGTGAAAACTGCTATGCAATTTCCAGATTCCAGAGTATGGGCCCTTTGAAAGCATTTCTGAGGTCACACTGCCATCTAGCGGTAATATCACAGGCAGCAATTACTCTCCAAGCAAATACAGTAGGGCGGGGCGGGGCGGGGCGGGGCGGGGCGGGGCGGGGCGGGTGGCGGATAAAACGATTCCACAGAAGTGATTTTTTTTTTTTTTCCTCCAACCACAGATCCTAAAAGACAGACAGATCCCACTGCCATGGTCCACAGAATTGCCTACAATCCTCCACATGCCGCCAAACAGTGGCTGCAAGCTCGAGTCAAATGCCAATTCTGCTCCTTAGGAGGGAAGGGTGTTATATAACTTCATTTTCTTTTCTGAGAAAATGAGGAAACTAATATCCACCCATATGGCTGCAGGCAAGGATGGAGTAAAATAATGCAGGCAATATGTGAGGCACACTGTAAGCACTTAATAAATGTTCAGTGTTGTTATACTACAAAGGAAACGTGACAAGAGCTGGGGCAGGCCCAGAGGAAAGGACCTGGACAAATTGTTTAATTATTGACCTTCGGTGAACCTCCTTAGACAAGCCTTTCCTTTACAGCACCGAGGCTTTTGTAATTCTCCACCTGAGATCACCTGCTCCCTTCCCGAAACCATCTTTGATGAATTGGGAACCTATATGACGTGGGAGCAAAGAAGCAACTATTTTATTCTGAAGTTTCATTTTGTAATGAACTCGCTCAAATTTGAAGTGACCTTGCAAAACCCACAAAGTTCATTTCAAGATTAACCTTGTGCTGGCCTAGTTGCTCATTTACTTCCAAGCTGGAAAATTATTACCATGAACTCCTGGAGTTTTGGGTAGTGACTTAGGTTTCCTGCCACGTCCAGCAGTGAGCCAAGATTTCCACAGCTGCCTCTGGACACCACTCTCCCCAGGGACTGGAAGACGCTAACATCAGGTTTGTTCCTGGACATTTTCTGTGTGCTTGGAAGAGGGGGAGCAGACCAAGTGGCAGGAGTTCTAGAAGAGAGACCGGAGACTGTGTGGGCATCAGAGGTGTTGACTGAGTTTTCAAGGGGAGATATGTGGCCAAAGGGGCTGTATAGAGACAGGTCAAAGGACCCTGAAGGGACTGGCAAAAGGCTTTGTTTCAAAGACACTACAGAGAAGCTCTTGCCTAGTGAAGTTAAGTCTTAGAAACCACTCAATGGAATATTTACGGGTGTCCTTAAGAGGGAAAAGTTCCAGCCCTTGGGGAAGTACACTGTAACTTGACCATTGCTTCCTGAGCGCTGGCAGAAGAAACCAGTGACATGGCTGTCGCCCCTAAAAGACAAAGAAGTTAACTTTTCTCAAACAACTGGACTGGGGTTGTTTCTTTGAAAAATAAGCTTGCAGGGAACTAGTTAACAATTCCCTCCAGTACAGAGCCTTCTGGGATTGTGACTGGGTCCGACTGAATCTGTAGATCAGTCTGGAGGAAACTGCCCAAGAATGGTGATGGAGTTGGGGTGGTATCGCTATAAAGATAGACACATAGATCACTGGAACAAAACAGAAAGAGTCTTGAAATAGAATCGAAGGAGAAATGGCTTTCTGCTTTCTCCTACCTCCAAACAGGAAGCAAAAGTCCCCAAACTTTACTCTTAACCACCAGGCTACTCTGCATCTTAAAGAATCCTTTCATTTGTACAAGATCTCTATAAGGTAGTCACTTCCTCATTTTCTGGGTAGCTGAGAACTGGACCTTGTCTAAACTAGATGGAGTAGGATATCATCTGTGGGTGTTCCTCAAGAAACAATGGGAATATTCCTAAATCCCCAGACAGTTTCCCCCAGGAAGGGACTCCTGTTAAACTCTATGCCATAGCAACGGACAGGGAATGAGCTACTGAAGTCTGTCTTTGACTGTAAACTTCTTGAGAGCAGAGATTGGCATCCCAAAAGTTAATTCATAAATATTTATTTCTTGGCCACAACAAAATCAGCTGGTCCCCAGGGCTACTCCTGTCCAAATAGTGATTCAGGGACCAAAGCTGTCTTTATCTCGCAGCTCTGCCTTCCAGGGAGCACGGCCTTCACACTGTTGTAGCCAAAAGAAGAGAACGATGAAGGGTCACACATCATCTTTAATTCCTGGCCCGGTGTTTAACACCTGTTACTTCACCCCCAGCCCACGGGCCAGAACGAGGGGCAGAGCCCTGACTGTCTCTTATCACCTGGGGGCTGCCTATGATGAGCAGTCAAGGTCTCTGCCTTCCTGGCCAACTGTGTGTACCCAGGAAATTGTGTTGGGCAAACTAACGAGTAAACCTGACACAGGGTCCAAATTACGCAGTCACGGAACTGAGGCTCGGGAGCCTCAGTCGGCAAAGGTAATAATGCCTGTGAACCACCATCTGCTGGGGACTCTTTGACACAAGGAACTGTTGTAGGAACTTCGCGTACGCTGGAGCACTTAGTCCTCACAAGGGCCCTGTGGGATAGGCCTTAATATTCTTCTTTCATGTATCTTTTTTTCACACAACCATGGGGAGCAGGTAGCAGAGCTGAGGTTTGAGCCAAGTGGGCCTTAGGAAAGTCTTTCCTCTTCTCCTTCTCCTCCTCCTTTTCTCCTCCTCCTTTTCTCCTTCTCCTCCTCCTCCTTCTTCTCCTCCTGCCTTCTTCTTCTCCTTCTCCTTCTCCTTCTCCTCCTCCTCTTCCTCCTCCTCCTCTTCCTCCTCCTCCTTCTTCTCCTTCTTTCTCTTCTTCTTCCTCTTCTTCTTCTCTCCCTCCCCTTCCTCTTCCTCCCCCCACTTTTTCTTCTCCTCCTTCTCCTTCTTAAGATTTTGTTTATTTGACCGAGAAAGAGATAAGAGACTGAATATAATAAGGGGAAGTGTGAGAGGGAGGAGCAGGCTTCCCGCAGAGCAGGGATCCCCGATGCAGGGCTCAATCCCAGGACCCTGGGATCATGACCTGAACCAAAGGCAGACGCTTAACCGACTGAGCCACCCAGGTGCCCAGAGAGTCTGTCTTCTTGATTCCACGGACTCCCTCAGCTGTTAATACCTTAGGGAACATCATTAGCAGCTGTAGGCAATGGCCTTCAGAAAGACAATCTGGAGTCATTGCCATAGTGAGAGGTGCTAGGAGGTTAGTCTGTGAGGTCTATTCCACACATGCCATCTGTTTGAGCAAATGCAAAGGCAGGAGGAGTGATCTCCCTCTGGGACACCTTTCCCAATAGCCTAGATTATGTGGGAATTGGCCAAGCTCGCTTTATGCAGTTCTCCCAACCCTGCAAGATAGAGACCCAAAGGTCTCCTAAGGCACCACTAATGCTCTATTCCAGCTCAACCATACCCACAGCAAGTCAGAAGGATTCCTGGTCAGGCTTTGCTATTCTCATCGTGTGTGCATACATATAATTCCCCTGGCTTCTCTGGGTTTTAACTTTTTCCTCTCTAAGATGGGATTGTGGCACATCTACTTTCTGATCACTGTCTCCCCGGAGGCATCCAATGGCATAATGTATTTAAGAGTGCTTTTAGATTGCTAGGATTGCTTCATCGCTTAACTGGTTATTGTTTATGACCAGCCAAATAAGGAAATTTTCTTACTTTCTCATGGAGTTGCAGATTGTTGAGGGAAGTTGGCGAGCAAAGCTACATATGCCCACAGCATTGAAATGCCAACTCTCTCATTCTAGAAACCACACTTGGCTGTATACATTTGCTTTTTTTTTTTCATGGTGCTTAAGAACCAGGCCGTGGAAGTCAGAACATATCACCCTATGTGTGATGGGGGGCAAAGTACTAATTAACGAATCTCTCTAAACTGCAGGATTCTCACCTATGAAATGGGGATAATGACATTTGTGTTTGGGAATTGTTTTAAGGGTTGAAGTAGGGATGCACATAAACGATCTACAGGGTTCATGGCACATCGTAAAACACTTGATAAATGATTGCAATTTCATTGTCATTTTATTATCAAGGGACCATCATGCTGTCTCCCAGGGTCTTACCCAATTATTCCACTTACCCAATTATTCCACTGCTCAATAGAACTGAGAAATCCCCAACCTTTCAAAACACCATGTGAGCACTTAGATCAAGGTCTCCCACTATGTCCTCAACAGCCTCCAACGCCCCCGGAAAAAGCACACAATTTACAACATGGCTGTGCTCCAAGATTCTACTTGGAAGTTATTTGTTTGGAACTCAACACATATTTTCCCATAGAAAGAATGCCATTAAAGTCGTGGTGGGGTTCCCAGGTCACTGGAAATACCCACTGGGTGGGCAAAGTAGCAGAAAATTGGCATATTTGCAACGCAAAAGAGTAGAGAGCAATGCAGTTGCATTCCTAGTCACAGGCCAAAACTGAAAACTAAGAAAATTATGTAATACATAGCTTCTTTTATTTTTCATGAATGAGGACAATGAGGAAAAACGGGCTTAATTAGAGGAAGAGAGAATTCAGAGGCCCTTTAAGTAAAGAATCATAATTTTTTTTTTTTTAACATTTGTGTTCTTAACCCAAGAGACTACATAGCACTAATCTCATTCACCACAATGGAGCTATTTTTGGTTTGCAAATGGAAAAGGGAAAAGAAATGGGAAAGATCCTGGAAAGGGAAGCAGAGGGAAGAAAGACTTCCGGTGCGGGGGTGAGATGGAGGAAGAAAATCAGCCAGTGGTTTGGATAAACTGAGGAAGGAGGGAAAAGCATACACATGTAGTGAGATGGAATCCCTGGGTCTGGGAGCTGGGAACACACATTGGGTGAGAGCCCACACCCGCTTGTAGACGGGAAGCTGTACTGTGACCCGTCAAGCAGTTCCCCACTGAAGCATAAGGTGGCACTAGAGGGCCAGAGCAGCTTGCAGAAAGAGAGGCCTCAAGGTTGGGGGGCAAGAGGGAAGGAAAGCTGTGAGTACCCAGCTCCTTGATGTTAGGAAAGAAGCCCAAAGGATATGCTGGTTCCCTGTTCTGAACTTTACTGCCACAAAGTAAATGGTGAACTAGTAACACAGCCTCACTTAAATGAGGTCTTTGCATTTACTGGCCAGAAAAGCAGACTGTGAAGACCGCCCCCCTCCCCACCAAGGACCTCAGCCCAATCTTTAATTTCTGATGACTTCAAACCTGGTAAAGGTTAAAAGGAAGTATATAAAAACCTATAGTTTTCAAATGAGAGACTGAGGGAGAGGAAGTAACTTGCCTATCCTATCCTCTTGTACCCACTAATGGTCAATAACCTCCCCAAAGCAGGCTGCCTCCCAACCTGATGCCGTCACTAGTCCACTGACCAGTTCACTGGTCCCATTTGGGCTCTACCTCCAACCTCAGCCTTTCTGGCTGATACCTGTTAACCAAGTTGGGTCAGACGGAGTAGAGGAGGAACTGGAATGATGAAATCCAGCGTAGATAAAACTCTGGAAGAGTTAGGATTTTTTTTTTAAGATTTTGTTTGTAATTAAGCTTTACACCCAACATGGGGCTCAAACTCACAACCCCAAGATTAAGAGTTGCCCACTCCACCGACTGAGCCACCCAGGTGCCCCCCGCAGCCTTATGAGAAGCTAGTCCTCAAATAAGGTGCAGTGAATCCAGGGACCATGGCCAGGCTATCAAGGGGAAGTTGCAAGAGTCACTTATTATGTCAGCAAGAGCACTGAATGTAGAGACAGAAGACCTAGGTTCATTTTAAATTCTGCTACGGTGTCAGGTGGCACACATCTCTCCCTCTCTTTGATGTCCCTTGCATCTCTTATTGTCTTCTAATCCTCACTGGGCAGGATCTGCAGTCTTGAAGAGGTGGGATAGTGGGCAGTTCATGACCTAATGAGGTCACAATGGCTCCAGGCCAAGCATATCCCTGATAAAAATGTGCTTCCCCTCAGAACGTCAAAAACGCCTTCAACTTGTGATAAACAAAGCTTCTGGGGTAAAACAAAGACCGAGTCATTTCCCATCATTCCTGCAGAAGAGGTTCTGAAAAACCAGAACATTCTATGTCTCATGGTAGAATACGATGACAGGTCAAGAGAAGTTTAATTCCTGAAAAGGAAAACCAGCTAATGGGAGTAATGGAGGGGTGGTGGGCTGAAGAGGAGAGATGATTATTACATGAAACAGAATAAAGATTTTTTTTAAATGGCCGTCGTGGCCCAGGAGGGTTCCTGAGTCTTCCATTCATGCCATGTGAGGGCTCAGGAGAAAAACCAGAACTGACCCTGGGCTGAGAGAAACCTAAGCCCATTCTCGCAGCATTTGATGAGGGTGGTGTCTGTCAGACCCACCCTGGGCCCCTTGTTCCCTTGCTCCCACACAGATGTAATCCTTGGTTCCTTAGGCCACCCAAATGTTACAGACACTGATATATAACCAGATGTTTCTAGAAATCCAACTCCTTTACCCTGACCTTTCCTCCCCATTTGGAGGACTCTCTAGGAGCTCATGAGCCTCAGTTATAGATAGCCATTGCCAATTCATGTCTTCTCTGGTCCTGACACTGACTGTGGCCCCAGCCCTGGGCTCCCCCTCCCTCTGCCACCACATATTCTACTACCAGGGCCTCCTCCTGCTGTCACGTCTCCCCTCCCAATGCTACCATTGCTATGGTGATGGCCGTAGGCTTTGCAGCCACTCTCCTTGACGCTGTCACCCCACATACAGTGATTAAAGCACTTTCTGCCAACCTTGAACAGTGTAATCTCTCAGACAAGGTCCCCAAAGTATAGCCTTGATGTTATCTCTCCCACTCCATTGAGAAATTTGGCATAAGTTCCCAGGGGACGGGGCCAGAGGGTCTTCAAGGACACCACCTTTCATCATCAAGCACTTGCACCTGGAGCTGGATCCTCCGAAGCAAGCTTTGCTCCCCCTTGTATCTCAGCGACCTGCCCTGTGATTTCCACCCTGATATTTTTTATAGAACACCTAGGGGTTTCTCACACAAGTGGAAGCTCTGATAAACCAGATTCCTAAAGTGACACCAACATGAATTACGAGTCATTTAAAATCTTCAAAGACAGATAACTTGTTTATCTCGCCTAATTGCATTAGAACAAATGGCAATCTTGAAGAAAAGATCTGCCTTGAAATGCCCACTGGTCATAGTCTATGTCGTTCTTTATCTCTCAGTCGGAGAAAACTACTTGACCTTCCAGTCATGAGCAATGTGTACCCTGAATGTCCTCTGCTCTTATGTTTGAACTTTCTCATCTCCCGTATGCTAGTCATGCCTCACCGTTTTTAACCAAGAGACAAAATGCCTGAAGAAAATAAATGGCCGACAATAAGCTAAAGTTCTTACAAAAGACTTTTATCCTTTCTATCCTTTTCTCCACTTTCTCTTCCTCTTGGGTGGTTGAGATAGAGGAGAAAAGAAGAAAAAATACTGCAGCGGAGATCAATAAAAATGGGAATACAAGAAAACCTCTTGATAACTTGGATCCTCCCTTGAATTCCTGGTGGTTTTAAGTCTGGTATGGATCAAACTGAGATACATAAAAACATATAGTGTTAAGTCTCCCTTCCACATGTGGGGAAGGCTTTGAACAATGAACTTGCCCTTCTGTTCAACTAGAGGCCTCATATTGGACCTCTGATAAAAATCCACTGGGCTCAATACTTTAAAAAGATATAAAAAGACAAAAATGCATAATTATATTTTCACCCTGTGAAATCCTTTTAAATTCAATGAAACAAGTGATTAATGTGAACCAACTATTCTGCTCTACACCATGAAATCGAAAAAAGAAAATGTCTGTCTTTAGAGGCTACCAGAAGACGTAACTCTGAGCCTTCCACTGTCAGGATTTACTGCCTGATCTTTCACACGTTATTCCATATCCTAGGCCACAGTCTCTCCAAATACAAAATGAAGACACTAATGACTTCTCTGTCTACTTCGCAGGGAAGTAGAAAGGAAACAGTAGACAGAAAAAGAAATGGTAAATAGAAACATGGTAATAAAATGTTTGGTGTATACAAAGATTCTGGGCTATTTATTTCCAAGCAGTTTCCAGGAGATGGAGATTTGTTGAGACATTGGAAGTAGAAACCTGGTGGAGAATTCTCATCCAACAAGGCAGAAATGACAGATAGGGGAATGTTACATTCAAATAATGAATATTCATGAACAGCAACTCACGGTCACATACCATCCTAATGCCTGGGGATGGAAAGCATGTTCGGGGGCTCTTGAGGGGTTCAGTTGGTTAAGCATCAGCCTTTGGTTCAGGTCATGATCCCAGGGTCCTGGGATCGAGTCCCTCATCGGGCTCCCTGCTAAGAAGGGAGTCTGCTTCTCCCTCTCTCTCTGCCTGCTGCTCTGCCTACTTGTGCTCTCTGTCAAATAAATAAATAAAATCTTCAAAAAAAACCCACAAAAACAAAATAAAATGTGTTGAGGGTCCCAATTCAGGGATTCCCTAGGGAGACTCATAGGACATAGCATGTCATTGAGGCTATGACTAATTACAGAGAAAGAATGAGAAGCAAAATTGGCACAGGGAAAAGGCTCATGGGGCAAAATCTAGAGGGAAATGGGTATAAGCTTCCAAGCATCCTCTCCCAGTGGAATTACACAGGATGCAGTTCATCCCTCCAATCGTGTGTTGTGACAACACGTGTGAAGCACTGACCACCATGGAGGGTCATTTTAGAGACTCGTTGCCCAAAGCCTTTTATTGGGGGCTGGTCATATTGACACTCTCTGCCACACCCATGCCCAAATTCTAGACCCTCAGAGGGAAAGCAGGTGTTCAGCATAAACCACGTTGTTTGTACAATTTAGACCAGTGGGCCATGCCATTCTTATCAGGGAGTAGTGGGAACCTTCTTGAAATCCAAGTTCCCAGACTCCAACTGAGGTTCAACTTTGCAAGCAGGCCTCTCAAGGGGTAGCATTCTTGAGCCTGGTATGTTAACTCTTAGGCACACAGAGGTTTAAATCAGTGATCGCAATACTGATGGGTAACTACAATGAGAAACACATTTGACCAAAGTCACTGAGACTTGAAAGGTCTGGCAGGAATGAGATAAATTAGACATGGTTGCTCTACCTTGTCAAACTCAACTCAGCACCTCAATAACTCCCTGCCTGCTCACTGACAAAGTGCATTGCCTATAAAAGGCTCTGTGGCTGTGCTCCAGATTCTTCACTGCACATCATCCCAAGGGCTCTGCCATAACTTCTTTCTGCTCAGTTCCTTGGGAAGGTGTTTGGAGTCACTTCTCTGTTGGACTTGACTAGATTCCAGCATGGCCCTAGATTCCCTCCACCAGTTCTGGCCCATCCTTATCCCCACCAAGATCCCCAACATTCCATATTTCATCTGGCCTCCTTGGCCTCCGTGTCCATTAGAGGAGCCAGCCCATTCACGTTTGAAGCCCTAGATCCTGGAGCTTATTCCTGTCCCTCAGTCAATGACTTAAAAGTCATTCCATTTCTACTCACAGCCTCTGGCTAATTTTCACCTCACTGGCTGCTGCCAGGGAGATGCCCAACACTCTGGACTATAGATTCTCACCCTTTCCTGCTGGAATCCTCTCCTGCAGGAGCTCCACATGCTGTCCTCGGCTGCAACAAGTGCCTTCGACATCTCTGTAGCTAGGGTTCCCACTCCCCTTGTCCCCACTAGACAGATCTATCCCCAAACCATGCTCTCTTTCATCTTTAGGTGGGGCGGAGGGCATACCAAAAGCACCAAGCTCCAGATCTACGTTGGTTTGGGGTGGGAATGAGTGGAGGTCACACATGCTGTTTTCTTGGTCTCAAAGTGAATATGTTCAATGTCCTTGCCAAGGAGTCAAAGACCGTAAGCTTCTCTCCGATACCAACCAGAGCCCCAGGCAAACCATTCTAGAGGTTCCCAGGAACTCCCAGGTTATCATATCAGCTCAGCCCCAATTTTCCCAGCCTGATGATCTCCTCCCGCAAAGGGTGAAGAGGTAGGAAACTGCCCTTGGGAATGTTCAGGAAACACTTGTAGTGCCTCAAATGACAAGAAAAAGCCACCCAGAAATGAAGCTGGTAAGACCATTAGGAGCTGGTCCAGGAAAGCTGTGAATACCATGAAAGGGGCATTTGATCAGACTTACATTTCAGAAAGATCCAGGAAGCTGGAGGGAGACAAGGTAGAGAGTGAATATGGAGGCTCAGAGACAGAGAGAAGACATTTTTGTAATAATCTTACAAGAGGTGGCAGGGCCTCAACTCAATCTGAGGCCATGAATTGTAGAGATGAGGGGATAAACATGAAGGATATTTAGAAAACCAGTTAATCAGCATTTGGGTATGGGGGCAGGAGAATGGAAGTGCAGGGATCAGCATCTTTGGCCCTACTTCCAGGGATAAGGAATGCCGGGGGGTTAATGTTGAATCCAAACAGATTCAGGACATAGTCCCCACATTTACCCTCTCCTCTACATCTGACAAAACCACAGTGTCTTGTTTGATTTTGGTTTTTCCTTTGAAGGTCCAGAAATGCCCTTGGTGTGTTTGACAGATTTTCAGGCTTATGCCCAGGATCATCTATCTAAGTCAACTTGGGATTTTATTGAAGGAGGATCTGATGAATGCTTCACCCGGGATGATAACATCGCAGCATTTAAAAAGTCTGGTCTTCTGTATCCTTTCTATTGTTAAGCTAAGGTGCACTGGGTGAGGGGTCCTTGGAAGGTAGCAGCCCAGCTCTCTGCCTCCAAAGAACACAGAGTACTCAAGATAAATTCATGGGTTTTGTTGTTATTGTTTTGGGTTTGGCGTGTTTTGGGGGCGGGTGAAGGCATGTGGCCAGGGAGAGGATGAATGGAGAAAGAGTTTATCTTTGTGCCTCTGCAGAACTATCATGAGTCAACCTCCCTCTGCATCCCAGCAGCTCTGCCACCTAACAAGACAGGACAAGAGTCCAGGGTCACCTGGAAGGGGAGGAGAAGTCAGCAGAGTAGGCCTAAATCTCCTGAGTTCCTAAACTTCTGGCTTGAAGGGGATAATGTCTGTTGGGAGAGGGGACACAAGAAATATGGAGACCCACAGACTCTTAAGGGTGAAAGGAGGCTTATTTCAAAGAAGAGCTGGGCTGGAAGAGCAGCGGGTACAGCACAGGGTGGAAAAGAGCCTACAGGCCATGGCAGGCCCACTGCCTGTGTCCGCATGGTCCACAAGCTAAGAATTTTTGTTTTCTCTTTTTAAATGATTGAAAAAAATCAAAAAAGGAATGATAAATTGTTATAGGTGAAGATTATATGAAATGCAAACTTCAGTGTTTATAAATAAAGTTTTATTAGAACCAGCCATGGTCAGTCATTTACATACTGTCTGCGGCTGCTTTTGCATCGCAACAGCAGATCTGAGTCAATGTGACAGACTGCACGGTCCACAGAGTCTAAAATATTTACTTTCTGACCCTTCACAGAAAAAGTTTGCTGCCCCTTGTAATAAGAGAGGTGAGGAGAAAACAGAAAAATGGGATACAAGGTGAACACCAAGTTCGGCAATTTTCATACTTGTTCAGAATTATACTAGGTCCCTTACTTGCTTTGGCTCATTTTGCCTTCATGAGACAATTAGGAAATTTGGATTATTTCTCCCATTTCATAGATGAAGTCTGCATCTTCCCCAAGTTTGTACAAACAATATATCTAGCAAAACCTTTCCACATTTGTGTGTAGGAATAATAATATTTTGTGAAAAACAAGCATTTTTGGATCCTGAGACTAAGTCTCTATTGGACTTAAAAGTGTGTTTTATATATTTACTATTTGTGACTTTCCCTACCCTTTTCTAAAGCAGTAGTTAAGTCCAATCGTCAAATGAATTAGCCTCTAGCAAAAAACAAAATAACAAAACTAAACAAGACAAGCCCCTTGATCATTCTCTGGGATTTGTCCTCCATCAGTGGAGACTTGTTTCTAACCCGTGAGGGAAGAGCCTAGAACTCCTTCCTGCTTATTCTATTTTCTGATCCTCGTTATGGCAATCAGTCAAAGCCTCCAAGCACTGAGAGTCTGCTCAGGAAGGCAAGACTCAAAGACACAAGGCCGGAGGCTGCGTGGACCACATGTGCACTTGGGTGTTTAGAGAAAGAGGGGTTAATGAGGGGCGGGGTATTGGGAAAGGCTTTCTGAAGGAAAGTCGGTCTATGTAACCTAATCAGCCAAGTGACCCACCACGATTTCTCGGGACCCAGTCTGGTGGAGACCTACATCCGAATCTGGAGGCCCCGGTCCCAGGCAGCTGCATGCTGGAGAATAAGCCCACTGATGGAAGATCTTTGTTTCTGAGCGCAGAATCCGCCTTCGCCCCCGGTACCTGAGAGATGTGCGAGAGGTGGACACCCGGACCACAATCCAAGGGGAGGAGATCACGGCCCCCATTTGCATCGCGCCCACGGGTTTCCACTGCCTCGTCTGGCCGGATGGAGAAATGAGCACAGCCAGAGGTATGACCCAGGTGCCCCTCGAGGCTCCCCTCCCAGGGGTCCTAAAGGGTGCTGGTATCCTTCAGAATAATGGCGGGATTTCTCCCAGAAGGAGCTTAGGGACAGCAATCTGGTCAGGCTTGAGGAGGGATATTTGCATAACATTTCATCTGAGATTGCGAAAACATCCATTTCCATCATAACTAATGGTTAGACAGGGTGGCTTCAGAGGAGTAGATGTGGAAATCAAGCAGGCCATCCTGCAAAGAAGGGATACAGGCCACTTACTGTCTGTGGGGAAAGGGGTTCTCAGGGTGACTTCAAGGATAGGGCTCTCTTTGACCTGATCCCTCATGGGCCAGGGCTGGGGCTGAATGGTAAGTCTCTGAATTTAGGATGAGGAGAGGGTCGTGATATGAAGTCCTAACAAAGCCCCTGGCAGGTGCTCCTGCCCATATGTCACATTTCCCGCCTCCTTGACTGTCACTTTTTTTTTTTTTAAGATTTTATTACTCATTTGAGAGGGAGAGAGACAGGGAGAACACAAGCAAGGTGGCAAGGCAGAGGCAGAGGGAGAAACAGACTCCCTGGTGAGCTGGGAGCCTGATTGTGGAGCTCAGTCCCAGGACCCTGGACATCATGATCTGAGCCGAAGGCAGATGCTTAACCATCTGAGCCACCCAGGTGCCCCAGCTGACTGTTATCTTTTTTTTTTTTTTTAAGATTTTATTTATTTATTTGACAGAGAGACAGAGAATACAAGCAGGGGGGATGGAAGAGGGAAAAGCAGGCTTCCCATTGCACAGGGAGCCTGATGCAGGGCTCAGTCCCAGGACCCTGGGATCATGACCTGAGCTGAGGACAGGTGCCTAACCAACTAAGCCACCCAGGCACGCTGACTGTCATTTTACATGACAAAAAGTTTCTTATTGCGTATGTCTCCTTCCAAGTAGCCCGTTATTCTCTTCCCTTATCCTTCTCCTCCAAAAAATAATAAGAAGAGAAGGGAAAGGAAAGGGTCTGAAAATAATCCTGTGACTCCCTTTATAATCTTTTTTTTTTTAAGATTTTATTTATTTGACAGAGAGACACAGTGAGAGAGGGAACACAAGCAGGGGGAGTGGGAGAGGAGGAAGTAGGCTTCCTACCGAGCGGGATCCCAATGTGGGGCTCGATCCCAGGACCCTGGGACCATGACCTGAGCTGAAGGCAGATGCTTAACGACTGAGCCAGCCAGGTGCCCCCTCCCTTTATAATCTTCACTCTAGGTCACACCTAGGAAATATTTTATTTGCAGGTTCTCTAGGTCTTCCCTGGGATCTTTTCCTTTGACTCCGTGATACAGGAAGCAATGAATCCAAGGATTCTGGAGTTCCAAGTGGCTGGTTAGAAGCCAAGTCTGGCTAGGCTAAAATACAAATATCCTGTAGAACTATGACTGCTTTGCTAAATCTTCATGGTGGTACATGTCGTGTTTTTGTAGTGGGTCCGAAGAATGGGGTATCTCCTATTGATGTTGGAAGCTGAAAATATTAAATCCCGATTAGGCCAGGTTCTCGGCTCATGGCTTGCAGAACGGTAGTGACAATGACCTAGTGGAGAATCTTGCTGAAAACAACGATCACTGTAGGCAGTGAGTGTCAACATCACTGTTGCCATCATCCTCGGCAACCTCATTATCACTAAGCCTGTGTACAGCGCATCACTTAGGAATTTTAAAAACCCTTGCAAGGGCGCCTGGGTGGCTTAGTCAGTTGAGCGTCAACTCGATCTTTGCTCTGGTCTTGATCTCAGGATCGTGAGCTCCCCACCAGCCCCTACTTAAAAAAAAATAATAATAATAAATAAAATACATAAAAATGCTTCCAAATCTAGTACCTTGTTTAATCTCTCAGCAACCTTATAAGAGAAGTGTTGTCATTTCCCTCCATTTTACAGAAGAAGAGAATGAGACTCAAGGCACACAGCTAGTAGAATGAGCACTCTTCTAACTCAGATACCATGCTTTCTCCAGTGCATAGCTCAGACCTCTCCACTGGCATTACAGTTCCTCACCCTTTGTCCTCTTGAGTTCCCTTCTGCATCATTCACAAGTTCACGAGCAGCCCATTCTCCCATCTGAAAGCGGCAGCATGTCCAAGAGCATCCTGGGGACTAAAGGACCCCTCCAGCCGGGGATCTTGATGGAGTCTGGAAGACAGGCTATATAGCAGGGGGCCTCCCAGGCTGACCGAATGCTCCCCTATGCCCCCTGCCCCAGTAGACAGCAGAGTGAGGTCAAGATTTGTCTTCCCTTTCAGTACAAACAGGTCAGAGGTGGCACAGACTCCGAGGGCATCTCAGCCCAGCCCAGAGCCCCACCCTCCCTCCAACCTGAGCTGTGGCGTTTGCTTTGCAGCTGCCCAAGCGGCCGGGATCTGCTACATCATCAGCACCTATGCCAGCTGCTCCCTTGAAGATATTGTGGCTACTGCCCCCAGGGGCCTCAAGTGGTTCCAACTCTACCCAACATCAGACCGGCAGCTCAACAAACAGCTGGTCCAGAGGGCTGAAGCCCTGGGTTTCAAAGCTCTGGTCATCACTGTGGATACACCCAAAATGGGCAACAGGAGATGCGACTTTCGAAACCAACTAGACTTACAGAGGAACTTACTGCTGAAAGACCTTCGCTCACCAAAGGAGGTAGGAGAGAGAGGAGATCCGATGGGCAGGCATGACAGGACATACATCCTCTCCTCCTTCCTCCCTTCCCTCTTGCCACAAAAAGACACTGAGTGCCTGCTCTTGCCAGACACTGTAGGGGCCATGGTTCAAAAAGCAGAATTGGTCCCTGCTCCCCAGAGCTATCAGGTGAACAGGAGATAACACAGAATGTCCTCACTCCTGGAGCTAGTGCTGTCACCAGAAGTGCTCTGCCAGAGCGGGGTGCTGAGAAATAGGAAAGCTATGGGAAGGAATTTTCCATGGCATAGGAAAGGAAATTCGTCAAGTTCTTCCAACGTTGTCCACGCTGCGGGACACTTAGAAAATGATAATTCTGGATGGCACATTTAAGTAAACTGATCTCCTGAAGAGGATGCTCACAGATCAGGTGACTGGTCCACAGAGCCACAGTAGCCAGTCCTGGCCCCTCCCCCTGCTGCCTTGAGAACTGAGGGCAGTACCTCTCTACACCTAGAACTCCTTCCTGGAGCTGCACCACCCTTGTTTGGAATCTCTGAAATAGGTGAAATAGGTGACTGAAATAGGTGAAAAAGGCTGCTTCCCCCTTAAAATCCTACAGTCAGATGGGATGGAGTGCCCCAGAGAGAGAAAGTCATGGTAACACTGGGGCCCCTCGGTTAGGCTAGAGATAATGATATCAGCCTTTTCAGCTAGTGGGTGGCTGTGATAGTCAAGCGACTGCACAGTTCTACTCATTAACCACAAATTAGCCTTGAAGTTTTCTGGAATCCTTATCTCAGATTCCAGAAGCACATTGGGATTTATGGGTATTTGATTCACATGGTGAGCCAAGGTTACATATAAGGTAGTATTTGATTCAGTATCATCAAGTATTTCTTAGTTCTTCTAACCTTGGGCATATTTCAAACATAACATGTTATATCAACCTATAAATGCTTTTGTTTATCCCCTTCACTTATTGAACTCTGAGTTCTTTGAGAATAGGGGCTGAGTCACTGGGTGTTACACACAACTAATGAACCATTGAACACTACATCAAAAACTTATCATGTACTCTATGTTGGATAACTGAACTTAATAAAAAATAAATAAAGGAGAGACTGTGTCTTATTTGTCTTTGTGTCCCTAGATCCTGGCAGAGCAGGGACACAATTAACGATTAATGAATGAGCAGTTGAGACAGTTCATTCTTTTTGCACAAATTCTGTTAGGAAAAGGAGCTGGAAGTGTCATTGGTTTTGTTACTCCTCTTTTAAGGCTTATAAAATGTGGCTATCTGAATGGGTCTCATTTAGGAATGGATCAAACAATCCTAAAGGAGCTCAGGTCTAAGGTTCTTCTTTCTTCCCCACAGAGACATACAACGCCTTATTTCCAGATGTCCCCCATTGACTCATCCTTCTGCTGGAATGATATCACCTGGCTTCAGAGCCTAACTCGACTGCCCATCATCCTTAAAGGGATTTTGACGAAAGAGGATGCAGAGTTAGCTGTGAAACACAATGTCCATGGCATCATTGTTTCCAACCATGGCGGGAGGCAGCTTGATGACGTTCCTGCTTCTGTGAGTAGGGTAACTTCAGAGGGTGTGTGTGTGTGTGTGTGTGTGTGTGCACATGCATGTGCACGTGCTTACAGCATGGTACTCTGTACGCTTTGGCCCAAACTCCCCTCTCCCTGATCACATATGCTGGTAATCGCAAGAACTTTTAATTATTAACAGCCTAGTGTGTATCAGCTCATTTTTACAAACTTCACATATATCATCTCTAAATCTCACAACCGACCTGCAAGACACATATCCTCCTCACTCTTCTACAGATGGGGATCCTAGAGCTTAGAGATGTTACATAACTTGCCCAAGTTGTGGAGTTGGGAGAGACATTCCAAAGACACTGAGGTCTCCTGCCTTCTGGGGAAAGCATTCAGCTTAAAGATTGCCTGTGTGCACGGAGTGTGACAACATGTTTTCTCATATGACACATCCTGGGAAGGAACAGTACCTCACTTAAACAAATAAATAACCATCTTTCAAAGTAAAACAAAGCAAAAAATGCCATATGAATCCTTCTCTAAAAATCTATGACAGTCTGTGATTTTCCCCCTATCTTTTTTTTTTAAGATTTTATTTATTCACTTGACAGACAGAGATCACAAGTAGGCAGAGAGGCAGAGGCAGGCAGAGGGGGCGGGGTGGGGGGTAGTGGAGCAGGCTTCCCGCTGAGCAGAGAGCCTGATGCAGGGCTTGATCCCAGGACCTTGAGATCATGACCTGAGCCGAAGGCAGAGGCTTAACCCACTGAGCCACCCAGGCACCCCATCCCCCTATCTTCTGAATTTGTGTCCATTACAAATGAAGAGGAGGCAGGCAAGGAAAGAATCTTTAAGTGGGAACTAATTGTTGATTTATTTTCCTGGAGTCTACAGTCATACCACCCTGAACGCGTCCGATCTCGTTTGATCTTGGAAGCTAAGCAGGATCGGGCCTGGTTAGTACTTGGATGGGAGATTTATTTTCCTGGAGATATATAGCTTATATTTTCCAAGAGATTCTTCTATCACTACTTCATTCATTCTAAGAAAAAGGAAGTGTGGGGTGGGGATTTCTGGGTGATGCAGTGGTTTGGGCTTCTGATTCTTGTTTTCAGGTCGAGTTGTGGTCTCAGTGTCATGGGATTGAGCCCCACAGCAGGCTCTGCTCTCCCCATGGAGTCTGCTTGGGATTCTCTCTCCCTTTCCCTGTGCCCCTCCCTCTCATGCTCTCTCTTTATCTCTCTCTCTCTTTCTCTCCCTCTCTCTCATTCTCTCTAAAAATAAAAATCAATAAATCTTTTAAAAAAAGAAAGAGGGGCACCTGGGTGGCTCAGTGGATTAAAGCCTCTGCCTTCGTCTCAGGTCATGATCTCGGGGTCCTGGGATCAAGCCCCACGTCAGACTCTCTGCTCAGTGGGGAGCCTGCTTCCCCCTCTCTCTCTGCCTGACTCTCTGCCTACTTGTGATCACTGTCAAATAAATAAATAAATAAAATCTTTTTTAAAAAAAAGGAAAGAAAGGGAAGTGGGTTTTTTCTCTCTCAAGTTCTTTTGGCCTTTCTATTATGTAAGTAAAACATGTTCGCTGCAGATAAATTATAAAAGGTACATATGCAAAAAGAAGATAAAAATCACCCCTAATTTCATGATTATCATTAATGACAATATTTTGGGAATTTTTTTTTATCAACTTCTTAATGCAGAGATGACATGTTAAGTTTGAAAAGCTACATACTATTTTGTAACTTCTCTTTTCACTTTGTCAATATTAAGAACATAATTTCATTTCAATGTATACACTTCTCTCATTTTTTAAAAAAGATTATTTATTTATTTATTTATTTGACAGAGAGATCACAAGTAGGCAGAGAGGCAGGCAGAGAGAGAGGAGGAAGCAGGCTCCCTGCCGAGGAGAGAGCCCGATGCGGGGTCGATCCCAGGACACTGGGATCGTGACCCGAGCCAAAGGCAGAGGCTTTAACCCACTGAGCCACCCAGGCACCCCACTTCTCTCATTTTTTTAAAGATTTTATTTATTTTCTTTTTGTATGTGCACGCACATGCGCACATGAAAGAGAGAGAACACAGGCAGTGGGGAGAGGCAGAGGGAGAAGCAGACTCCCCACTGAGCAGGGAGCCCAATGCAGGACTTGATCCCAGGACTCTGGATCAGGACCTGAGCCAAAGACACAAGCTTCACAGACTAAGCCACCAGGCACCCCATTTCTCTCATTTTTAATAGTGTAGAGCATGAATGGACAATTTATATAACCAGCTGCCTATTGTTGGAACATTCAGTGACTTCCAAGCCTTCACTATTTTAAGCAATGCAGCAGTGACCATCCTTAAATCTTTAGCACAGTCTCAATTACTTCTTTAAAATGAACTCCAGGAAGTGGAGAAGCTATATTGGCTGGTTTGTACATTTCAAGACTTGTGAAGCTTGGAGGTTTAAGGTGCTGATGACTCGCCCCTTCCCTGCAACCAGGCTCTCATGGAGAGAGAACAGGCACAGAGTAACAAGCCCAGCTGGAGGATAAGGGGCACTTTACTGTAGCTCTCCATAAGAGCTGATTGAAGGGAACAGTCAGGCATCCTACTTCCCATGCCAAATTTTGACCTGTGACCCCAGGAGAAAGTAGATATGCAGAGCACATGCTAGTTCTCTCACCTGACTTCTGCGAGGATGCCCACAGGCCACCTCCACACACCCAGAAATTGGCAGAACAGGATGCAAAAAAGTATAGCAGGTCCTGAGCAGTCCTATAGGTAGGAAGAGAAAGCAAAAAAGAGACCACCTCCAGAAAGTAGCAAAAAGAGTAGAATGCTGACTCTCGAAATAACTCTAATGAAACATTATGCAATCGGCTCTCTCTCTCTCTCATGAATCAATTTAGCTAGTCTTGTTCCCTTGGGAGGAGGACTGAGTAATACATGGAGAAAGAGGATGAGTAATTGCTCCCCACTGCATTTCCTCAATAGAGAATGACTGCTGGCAAAGGCAGGACTCAGAGAGAGAATTTCTCCTTCCCCATCATGCTGATCAATACGTCATTCTCCCAAGCCATCTGACTTAACAACAAACCCACCCAAGGTCATCTGGGGACAGTACCAAGATTGGTGTGAAGCTAGAGAGGTACCTCTGGCTCAGAACTTAAGAAGGTGCCAGAAAAACTTAGTAAGGTAAATAATAGCTAAATGCACTTTTAAAAAATTTTAATCAATGCAAAAAATTCCATGGTGAACAAAACATCAACATTTTAAAAGATAGGATCTGTCCCTACACTCAAAGAACCTGCCTCACTGTCAACCTGGCCCCAGATCCAATAAAAACTTATTTATAAAAACAAGCACTCACAGGTCAAAGTTTGACAGTATTAAAATGTTAGTTATCTGAGTGTTTTGGCATTCCCTGAATTTTGTGCTGGAGGCCAATGCCTCACTCCTCTCACCGCAGACCCCTCCCTGTGAGGGGTATAACGCTTTGAAGTTCCCATCTCTAGAAGTTTCCATATACTTCCTGTATTTCTTCCTGGGACCTGGGAAATGGGTCAGCTAGCTGTTGTTTCCAGAAGGCTCTAATGAATGTCCTATCGTGACCTATAGAAAGTAACTCTAAAGCAATACTGGACCCTAGGTTAAAATTCACTCCCTGGTCTGTTTCTCAAATTCCATCAGCCCCATCATCTAATCCGGCTTACAAGAATTTACACAGGTATTTTTATTTCTTTTTCTCAACATCATTGAAATATTCCAAATAATACTATGGTGGGGCTATAAAAATACCCTTATCTGGACATGCATTCTTACCAGTTCTCACATGTAAGTCTAAAATGTATTCAGTTCTCCTCCACTTGTAAATTAGAGTACCAAGTTCTTTCCTCCCTGATTTCATATTCTGCTCAGTCACCAAAGGATCTCATTGAGATAGGATTCCCATTGATTTCTTCTGCAACAGAAGTGCCCCAGGGCTCAGTTTCACCTCCTCTCCATTTGTCTGTCCAAGAGGCATAGAACAGGAGTCCTGAGGCAGTTCCAGAACTCTGTCCTCAAGAACCCTGCTCCCAGACTCTGCTGTCACCCCTCCTCTTAGACTTGGAGGTGCTCAGGCTTAGGCTCAGTCTGGGGCACTGTGGGTTGGCAAGGCCTCGTAGCTGCAGAGCCTGGAACTGGGGAGGCAAGGTGAGAGACAAAGTCTGGGGAGAAACCAGGACAAGTAGTAAGCTGCTTTTGTTTCGCCTTTCAGAGTCTTCAACCCTGCCTCAACAGCACTGATGCTTGCATTCCCAACCCACGTCTCAGATAACCCATACAGGAGTCAGGAACAAGTTGATCAAATGTGGTGTGTAAGGAGCAATGTGCAACCCAGTTACACAAAACACGCTATGGTCCAGACACATTTGCTTTGCCAAAAAGACTCAGTGCCTTAGCAATGGAGAATATTCCTAGCTGTGCCACCCTGGAAACAGAGAAAGCAGGAGAAAATAAAAGGTCAAAATGTACTTTGAAAAGAACATTAAAGTGAATGCCACAAATGGAAAATATTCCTTTTAGGATGAAGAAGAACCAAGAGTTTCTTCCGAGCTGTAGATAGTCAAACAAGTGATTTAGAGAGAAGCTGCACTCTGTCAGGGAAGAAAATGGCATGAGGGAGAGCTTGCAGAAAGTCCCTGGGCTCCCAGGGCACCTGGGGGGCTGTTTAAGCATCTGTCTTCCACTCAGGTCATGATCCCAGTGTCCTGGAATAGAGCCCCCACATCATATGGGGCTCCCTGCTCAGCGGGGAGCCTGCTTCTCCCTCTTCCTCTGCCCCTCTTCCTGCTCATGTGTGCACTTTCTCTCAAATTAATTAATTAATTAATTAGTTTTAAAAATTAAAAAGAAAGTCCTTGGGGTTCGGGAATGTAGCTGCACTGCTCTGGTAGGACAGGGGAATCATGCGTCCAGCATGGGAGGGGAAAAAAACTCATAGACATCACCAACACCCGGACTTCCTATTCCTAACCCACACTGAGGGGGCACCTCTGCCCCATGATCCCTGAACGTGAAAATGGAAGTCCCTCAAGCCATGCATGTCTCTTTCTCAGATTGATGCCTTGACAGAAGTGGTGGCCGCTGTGAAAGGGAAAATGGAAGTGTACCTGGACGGTGGGATCCGAACTGGCAATGACGTGCTCAAGGCGCTGGCCCTTGGGGCTAAGTGTGTCTTTCTAGGGAGACCAATCCTGTGGGGTCTTGCCTATAAGGTGAGAGGTAAACCAGCAGGAAGATACTGGGCTTCTCATTTGCCCCCACGCTTTACTGCGGTTTGCCATCCAAGCTGAGCTGATGTTCCAAGTGCCACAGATCCCTGAGGGACAGCTCCTCCCTTGCCCACATCTCCTGCTTCCTTGGCAGCACGCTGCACATTCTCAGGCCCCCTCATCCCCGTCTTTTCCTCTTTGCCTCCCTGTCTTCCCAGCATAGTTCCAATTTCACAGACACCCTTGTCCTCCCCGCTGCCGCTGAGAGCACACCTAGAACTGATACTTAGCACCTGCGCAGAATGTTCTTCATGCTTCTTTTTGTCTCTCCCCAACCCCCATCTTGGGAGCAGGGTGAACATGGCGTTGAGGAAGTTTTGAACCTTATAAAAAATGAATTCCACACTTCCATGAGCCTCACAGGTAAGTTTTCACAATTCTTTTCCTGCCTTGGAGCTGAAAGCATGAGGGCTACAGAAGAGGAGTGGCTACCTTTCCGCAGCCCAGTGGCTGCCCAGAAGAGAGAGGAGGGAAGAGAGGCCCCAGACGGAGACTGAACACATGCTCCAAATGTGATTCCTTTGCCATGAAAGCAAATGAAATTTCAGATTATGGAAAAGAGGGTCCCCTTACGCTCCGGCCTGCAGGTTTGTTGGGTGTGGTTCTGTGGGTCATCTTTTCACATTCATGGGCTGTGGGGAGTTGAGAAATTATGGCAAGGAGGGGGCATGGAGGAAGTGGGGAGACAGACACAACAGGAGGAGAGAAGCGGGGAGCAGGAGAAGTGCCGTCCTGTGTAACCACGGCCAGAGAAATGTGAACATCTGGAAGTTACATGCTGGTGGATTTCAGTCAAAAAGGAAGTTATTATAAAGCAGTGCTCCTAAAAATTTATACGTTTTTAGCAAAGCCTGGGATCCTGATGACCTAGAAAATAGTATTCTCAACTAAGATTGTCGATGATTGCCTTCTTTAGGAAGATTTGGTTTAGAGTCCCAAGTTTATTTTTTTCCAGTTGGTGCAGATTGAAGGATGGATACTTCTGGTACTTAGTGCTCAGAGGCTAGGGACACTAACTGTCCTAACATGCCTGGAGCAGCCTCATAGAAAAGAGCTGCTCTACCCAAATGCCAGTGGCCAACAGCTCTATCTCTGCTTGTCTTTGTCTGCTGTAGATCTAACTGATCACAACATGAAAGGACAGACAAGATGAACCCCACTGAGACCTCCGTTCCCTCCCCAGTTCTAAAATTTGGTAATAACAGACACCTTCTCCAGAAGTAAGGAAATAATGAATCAAGAGCTCTGATGTGGGATCAAGATTATCTTTATGCCATTAACTTATTTCCATAAATGTTACAGAGCATTGGTTATGTGTTGAGCCCAAGACAAGATGTTCAGGTTCTTCTCAAGTCTGGTTTCGGTCTGATATTTAGACAAGAGTCTTATACTCAATGTCTAAATTATCTTCGTAGTGTCCACTGGGGCTGCAGATTCAAACTTTTGGGCTTGAGTAATACAAGTTAGAAACCTTAGATCAGCATTAGTGCCAGCACCAGCGTCCTTCCCACTGAGCAGATTAATTAAAGAAAAAAAGGGGGAGGTGGATAGATCAAGGCATGGAGGACAAGGACCATCAACTTTGGACAAGAGCCATACTCTTCAGAGCCTATGAAGATAAGTTAGTAAATGACCTGGTATCCCCAAGGCTCTCCCATAATGGAGAGGTGGGCATGAACATGAACAGATATCATATTGGTGTGTTTTGCCCCTGGGAGGGAGAGGGGTGAAGGATGGGTAGACCCATGTGCTTCTGCAGATTCCAGGAGGTTGAGATGACTTCTCCTGCTGCCTCAAATATTTTCTCCCATCTTTGAGAAATGATGTCTGATCCTCTTTTAACAGAAGCCTGTTGGGGGAATTCACAATAACAAAGCTTTTTTATTTTACCAAAAGTTGACACTTAACAATTGCTGGGGTAAAAATAGTGGTTGGAAAATCTCCTTCTGAAGTAGAGTGGAGAGTGTCCTTTTTTAAAAGGGGCAGAGAAAAAAACAGAATTGTGAGCCCATTTAGGGCTGACAGTTTATACTCCCCTTCTTCTAACTGTTGTACAATGAGAATGTGTTGTTTTAAATGCAAAGAGGGAAAAATGAGTAATCACAACCAAACATGGGACAGCAATGAGAAAGAATAGGAAACTCAGGCAGCAGGGCATCTGTTGGCATCCTCTGCATAAGAGTTTCTCCCCCAGGCTAGTCCTTGGGAAGAAGGGATTTCTGGCGGTGGGAAGGGGGGCCTGGGCTTTTGGTGGAACTCACTAAAATGCAAAATCAGAGCATGAAATCCCCAAGATTCTGTCACCCCTTATCCCTTCCACACACAATGCACGTAAGATGCCTGACACAAAATCAGCATCCAGGAGGAATCCATAATATCATTTCTCTCTCTGAATTCCCCTGAAGATGTATGATATTTTTCCCCTTATGACCCTGTAACATCACAGCCCTAGGCGGAACCTCTATTTGTACTATTGCTGAAAGCAAAATCAGCTTCAAAAGTCATGGTTTTTCTGTGAGACCAATTGCTGAAATTATACTTATAGGAAGGCTAAACTCATCAACTGTCTTGAAAAATGTCCACATACAAATCAGGCCAACAGAGGCTGCAGGGACCTCACTAAAGTCTTAGCCTTCATAAGGGGAGGAGGCTGAATTAAAAAGTATATGAACCTTCTTGAAGTTTATTGTTTGGGATTACCCACTTCACTTGAAAGTAGCCAAAACATGTTAGTGTAAGTATCCTCCTAATTTACAGTAATGAAAAAATTATAAATACGCATTCTCTCTCAAACTTCCACTGAGCCTCTGCCAAGGGCAGGGCAGTGCCCTTGGGACTGCAGGAGACCCAGAAGCCAATCTGATGAAAGGCGAGTAAGTACAGAAACATTACCAAGGTTTATGTGTCCAACGGTCTCAAAAGGGAGACATTTTGAGTCAACTAGTGAGACATTTTTACATCGCTTAAATTTTACTTTTATTACAATATAGAACCCAAGATCATATTTTGGTCTTCTCTGTGCTCCTTGAATAGGTCTGCCTCCTGTGAAGACCTCCTATTCTCTGCCCTGGGGAAAACCAAAGTTTTTAAGACCACTGTCCATTCTGAGGAAAGCCGCCTCTGGCACCAAATTCTTGCTTCTGCTGAATGAGTTCAGTCTGTGGGTTACTTACACATCCCATGCCTGCCATTTCTGTCCCTTGCGATGGACCCAGGTGTGGTTTTTAGAGGGGGAAAGAACCCTCTCATTAGTTATATTTTGGCGAGTAATACATTTTGCTAAATTTGTGTTTTGGGATGTGCAGGTGCACACATCGTACATGTGGAATAAACTTTGAATTAGTCATTACACATTGTGGCACTCAAGTCTTTCTGACTTATCATCACCAGGGATTTCCCATCTACTCAAGGTCACAACTCTCCAGTCTGTACCAACGGACTACCCCCTTTCTCCTTCCTCTTTGTGCTTCTTATCCGACGTCACTCTCTTCAATCCCTGCATCTAATCTCAGCAACAGTTCTAATTTTGCATTTTAATTAAGATCCTCCACTAAGAAAAATGTTACCTTTTGCAGCACTTTCTTAGAAGGCAACCACTGTATGAAATACTCAACCCATCTCTTATTCCCGACTCATAGTTTTCCCTGAGACATACTTCCTAGATCCCTGAGCTTTATCAGCACTCAGATAAAGGCCAAGTATATCTATGGCACATATGAACTGATTTTTCAAATGCTAAAATAATGTTTCTATATTTTTACTATGCCATTTTGGCATGGCTGTGTTGATAGAGGACTCAGACACAGACTCACAAAGTAATTCTCAAGGCAGTCAGAATCACATATTCATCTGGTATCCATAATGTTTTTTCAGGGTGAGCACCTCAAGACAGGCTTGTTCCCATTGGATCATCCTCTTATCCATGAATGAGTGGATTACTGGTGTTTTAAAGAAATAAACTCATTAACTATTCTTTTAGGTTGCCAGTCGGTTGCCGAAATCAATCAGGACCTGGTCCAGTTCTCCAGGTTGTAAAGAAAAAGAGCTAATGACCAGACCGCTGAGGTTGCCCACAGAGGGAGACAAGCCCAAAGCATGGTGTGTGATGTCCTCCTGCCTTGGCCATCCTGTCCAGAGGCTCATCCCCTGCATCGTCGATCATTCTACCCCTTGTGCTTCAGGCCCTCCAAACCCCTCCTCTTCCTAAAATGTGACATGCTCTTCTTTGCCTCACTACTTGTTAGATGCTCTTGCTTAAAACTGTGCTCTGAAAGAAAAAATGTTAAAAACGTGGATCAACAATGACTAAAATAATGGATTAATTTTTTTGCCTATCCTATGTATCTCTATGAACCAGCTAATGGAATTTACACCCTGCACAGAAGGGCTATATATATATATATATATATATATATATATATATATATATAATATTCTCCCAGCAAAATAATACTCCAATCCATAGATAACAGGGAAATAATACAGTTGAAACATGGGCTTTGGAGTCATATATATTCTCCATACCTCTATGAAATAACTATGAGAATTTGTACTCTCAACAGAAGAGCTATTCATATAAAATATTCCTCAACAAAAATCATACTCGAGAGCTGCCTATCAAACAGGACAAGACAGACCAACCAGATGAAAGATGGAAAGTAAGTCAGTTGTAGTTAGAACATTTAAAATAGTAGTAGACACCTAACGAAATCGTGGTCTTTGAGAAGAGGCTCAGGATCCTGATTTAGATGGGGCTTGGTGCTGATGGCCAGGTCATCTCTACAACCCTGAAACCACCAGCTGGAGGCTTAACTGTGTCATTCCAGATTGGTTTGGGGTAAGAGTGAGACAAATCACAATAGCATATGGCATTAAGGCAATCCGGTCTACAGATAAGGATGTTAGCTTACTTGTACTAGAGAATCTAGTACAGTTCTCCCTGCACATGTCTCTTGGTAATAACTGTACACACGTGTGTGCTATTTTTTTAAGTTGCTTTTTCTGCAGACTCAGAGAACTAGATGCAAGATTCCAAGGGAAACATGGAAAAATATCATAAAGATAGTACCAAAGGGCTGTTCTCTTTGCCTCAGAAGTGTGGACAGAGGAATTTCTACCATCACCTGAAGAGATACATATTAAATCTCAGAAGGTACTTTTTGACTCCTAGAAATGTCCTACATTAGAATGGATGGGTAAAGAAGGCAAAGAAAGCTTCTCCACTAGAACATTTTCAACAATTGAACAGAATATTGGGTACCTAAGAGATAAACATTGTGTTCTGATAAAGACAATCATCTTTAGAGTCATCCCAGGGTCAGGATGCTTGGACTCAGACTATGGCTCCACTGTCCTCAAGCTGTTTGGCAAGACTCAAAACATCTTTGTCTTTATCTATCAAATAATACTAATCTTCTTGGATTCTCACTGTGAAAATAAATGATTTGGGGGACTTCTGATTCCCAATCCAGAGTGTAAGAGCTTGGAAGTCACCAGTCCATCCCAGCAAAATAAAAAGCTGAACAAACTGAAAAACCAACAATTCCTCTCGATACCTCAAGAAGAGTGAGGTCAGAGGGAAAAACCACTGTCCCCAAAATTGGAGAGACAGGCAAATACACAGAAGCAGAAATCTTGAAAACCAGCACCAGGGTCAGAACACCTAAACTGTAACTGATGAGATGCTGGAGGTTCTATGTGGGTGAATCTGAAAGTTAAAATGGGGGCCCACTCATAGGAGGTCCCTACCCTCATACTTTTGTTCTACCTCTAGGAACTCTACCAGAATCTTATGGTGAATAGCAGAGAATAATTCCCTAGAGCTTCCAGCAGGAGGAGGAAAAAGTAACCATTTTGAAATACACCAGAATATTCTGTTCTCACCAAGGCTAACCCAAAGAGAAACCTCTTTACCAGATGCCAACCTGCTATGGTTTTACCAGAGCCTAACTGACCTAGGAGGTGCAAGATACCCAACTCTAGGCCCCTGTAGTCACCCTGTCCCAGCAACATTGGTAAATGTCACAGTAGAAGGGCACAGGCTTACCAAAGACTGTGACTTAATCATAGAATTACACAACACTCCTCCATACACACACCTTACCATCACTTTACCACTACAAGCCTATTTACCAGAGTTTGTTTTACCCATTACATCATATCTGGCTTTAAACAAAAAAATTTCAAGGCATACTGAAAGGCAAAAGATAACCATTTGAAGAGACAGAACAAGCATTAGAACAAGACTCAGAGGTGGCAGGGATGTTGGAGCTATCAGACCAGGAATTTAAAACAACTATGGTTAATATACTAAGAGCTCTAATGGACAAAGTAGACAACATGCAAGAACAGAGAGGTTATTTAAGCAGAGAGATGAAAATTCTAAGAAAAAATAAAAAAGAAATTGTAGAGCTCAAAAACACTAACAGATCTGGAGAATGACTTTGATGGGTTCATCAACAGACTGGACATGATAAATATTTCAGGCTTTGCGGGCCATACAGTCTTTACTTATGTCTGCTGCTGCAGCATGAAAGCAGCCATAGACAGCTCATACACAAATGGGTGTGGCTATGTGCCAATAAAACTTTACTCACAGAAGCAGATGGTGGTCTGGTCTTAGCTTGCAGGTTATAGTTTGCAACCCAGTTTAGACCAATAACACAAATAATATCAAATATTAAGCATAATGCACAAAACATTTGTTCTCATACTCTTTCTCCTCTTTGCCTATCTGGTATCCCTCTAATATGAAGTAATTGCTCCCATCCTCCTTATTATTATTATCATTTAGAGTATTAATACATGGGCATTGTGTTGAGCTATGGGTACTGCATTTTAAAAGGTTAGTGCATTCTTTTAAAGGCATTGTGTATTTCATGTAACTGTTTATGGAAAGTTCTGGCTGATCGATTGATTGATTTGTTGATTTACAGTTCTTTCGACACATGGGAGGAAGGGCTTGCTTAGCTAGGCTAATTAAGCTTCCAAGTTTGGTAGTTTATTAAACAAGGGCCTATGTGGAGCGAGTGAGACTTTCCCTTACACTTGTGGCCTGCTGGCTGTCAACATTCCTCCCACCACCAGTCATTTGCCATCTCCAGAAAGCAAAGTATACATATTGCGACATATCATACACTGTTTTTCTCCTGCCTCTTATGAAATCAGCTGAGCACCGGATAGAGTGAGAATTTGAACTAGAAAGTTCTATTGTAGCTAATAATCATGGATTTTGGGGGGTATCATACATTAGACAGTGGCTGTACTCAGACCATGGTATGTGTGCCTGGGATGTGGTCTGGAAAAAGGGCAATGTGATGTTTCCTTTTATTTTTCATGAGCCCCTTATCTTCCCTCCATTTCCATACCATGACTTGAATGACAGTTACCATCCTTTCTATCAGATTTTCAACATCTTTTCTTAATAGGTTTCTCTGAGTCTTCTAATCTAATCTAATCTAATCTGTTCATATGGTACCCAGAGCGGTCTTTAAAAATGCAATTCTCATCATGCCACTGTGTGACTAAATTCCTTTTTGGGCTTCACTCTGCTCTTAGGAGAAAACCAGTCATTGCCATGAATTTCTCTCAAGTCTATGCATGTTCTGGCACCACTTCACCTCTGCAAGTTCATCTAACTCCACTCTGCACACTTTGGCATTTCAGCCACACTTGCACGGTTTACTTCTGTAAACAAATTCTCCATACTGGCTCCCACCTAGGAACCTTTACTTCTTTTGACATGCTATTGTACTATAGAACTTCTGTTTACAGTTTTGATTTCTTAATCCTTTTTTTTTAACCTGTTAATCCCTTCTTCCATTTCTCCTACCCCACCTCTGGCAAACACTAGTCTGTTCTCTGTATCTATGAGCTTGGTTGTTTCATTTTTGTTTCTTAGATTCCACATATAAGAGAAATTGTATAGTATTCGTTTCTCTCTATCTGACTTATTTCATTTAGATAATGCATTTGAGGTCCAGCCATGGTATTACAAATGGCAAGACTTCCTTCCTTTTTATGGTTGAATAGTATTCAGTGTGTGTGTGTGTGTGTGTGTGTGTGTGTGTGTGTGTGTATCACAGTGCCTTCATCCATTCTTCCATCAGTGGATGTTTAGGTTGTTTCCATATATTGACTTTTGCAAATAATGCTGTGTGAACATGGGACACATATATCTTTTCAATTTAGTGTTTTCATTTTCTTCAGATAAATACTCAGAAGTGGAACAGCTGGATCGCATGGTAGTTCTACTTTTAATTTTTTAAGGGGTCTCCATACTGTTTTCCATAGTGGTTGCACAAACATTACAGTCCCACCAACAGCACACAACAGTTCACTTTTCTCCACATCCTTGCCAATACTTTTTATTTATTTTAATACAGTAGATATTAATCCAACTACTACCAATACTATCCTTAAACAGAAATGGTCTAAGGCAATCAAAAAACAGAGATTGTAAGAATGAATCAAAAAACAAGACCCAACTAAATGTTATCTACAAGAAACCTACAAGATTAAAAGTAAAATCCTAGACACACTTTCTCCCATGGACATACCAAAGCAAAAGCTACATGTATTGCAAATTACTCTGGAAACAATCTGAAGACTGGCAGAAAAGATCTTCCACAGCTCAAGTCATAAAAGGAATGCCACACTGAGAAGGGTAAAAGAGACAGAGACACAGTCAGAAACCAAAGCCCCTGTGCAGTGATCCACAAGTGGGAGGGACATCACAGGCAGGAGGAGCAAGGGGATCAAGCCTCATGCTGGGCACCCTGGCCCTGGGGACTCACACTGGGAAGACATGACCCCATAGAGTCTGGCTTTGAAAATCAGTAAAGTTTAACTCCTGGAGAGAAGGAGGGCTATAGGAAACTGAATCTCCACCCTTAAAAACTCCACCATCTATCACTCAGCCCAACATCCAGCACAGAACTGCAGTTTGAAAAGTGCCTGGGTTATACATGAAGATCTACTGACAATTTTATAATGTGTGTCAGAAGCTCAACGATCTGTATATATCTCTGGGAACTGAGGTGCCAGCAGGTGCCATTTTTCTTGCCCTCCCTTGATCCAGATGGCTAGATGCTTCTTGGAGTCAGTTCTGACACTCCCCCATCTACTTGTTTGTACCTCTTGCCCCACTCCAGTGTTCCTTTGTGGATTCACTCCATCTAGCACACTCACCCTGGCATGTGCCTCTTCAAAGCAGCTCCCATTCTGTCACACTGAGTCAGGACGAACATTCCCCCCAAAGTGACTACTGTCCCATCATACCAAGTAGGCATCTCTAGCCAGAACTGGTGTCC